TAAATCTCCAGCCCAATAGTGCTCCTTTCACAAAGGAGTCCAAGTTTAGATGACAAATTACATAGCCATCCAAAGTATTGGACATGTCAAAAGAGAGTAGGCCAAGAAGTTTCTGAAGGGATAAAGTCTGGCCAGTAAGAGAAAATGAGTAAGGTACTAGGTACTTGGGATAGAGAAAAAATAAGTCATCAAGAGTGATTCAGGAGCACAGAAGGAAAATAAAGTGTATCTGCATACTATGGGAGCTCAGCATCCTACAGCTACCATCCACTGAGAGAAACTTTTATCCTTCTTCCAATTTACCCACTAAACCCTATCCCTGGATTGGCACAATAGTCATGTTATTTGTTTCTGATCACATAATGCTTTAAGTAACCAAATAATCATTTGTTTACCTTCAACCTTCAGCTTAAATGCTTGCTCTATCTTGCAAAGAGTATACTTTCCAAAATATGAGATTAAATTCTGAATATAATTGATTTCCATATGAAATACTGAAGACTGTATATTATATGTAAAGGATAACTAAGGTTTCAGAAGTTCATAATCCTGCATGATCCATACTTATAATGCTCAAGAAAATAACACTTTCCTCCCCACATCTCTTGCTCCCAACACCCCAGAATTGATCAGAATTGACTTCTCCTTAAACTCCCCAAAGGCCTGTCTTCTTTCTAGTCTGAAAATCTTGTGTTTAAATGTTCCCAGAAAGCCTCATGCTTTTTCAGAGGTGGCCAAATCTAGAGTGTGTGACTGATTCACGGTGGGACTAGGCCCAAGGATACTAACATTAAGGGCGTGAGCGCTACCCACCCTAAGGAGTCTGAATAAAAGAAAAGGGCCAGAAAGACACTGTTAAGAGCTCTTGCTGCTTTTGTTGTCTTCTTCTGCCATGAACTGTTGCCCCTCTGCTACCCTGTCTTGGCACCAGCCAATTATGAACCAAAACCTCTATGAACTGCGAGCCAAATAAACTTTAACCCCCTTTAACTTTGGATGTTGGGTTTTTGTCTCAGCAACAAGAGAAAAGAAACTAATACAGGGTAAAAAAGGAAAATGAGATAGGCAGATAGGAACACAGAATTCAATTTCTCCTGAAATCTACACCAAAGAAACAGGTCTTTAGAAAATCATTTATTCTCTCTGAGCTTTGGCTTCCTATAGAAAGAATAATTTGGGTGGGCCAGGGATTTAGTTTAGTGGTTCTGCTGCCTGCCTCACAGAGGCAAGGTCCCAAGTTCGATACCTGGGGTGAGTGTGTGTGTGTGTGTGTGTGTGTGTGTGTGTGTGTGTGTGTATAAAAGAAAGAATAATTTGGATTACACTGACTCCACAACCCTCTCAGCAATAAAAAAATGATATTGAGTTAAACAGTCTTTCAACTGGGAAGACCAGATATCAAGCTGCTATTAAAAAAAAAAATGTTTTCTATAGGGAAGGGTGAAGGGGGTAAAGGGAGGGCAGGGGTATGGGGAAAAAATAAGAACCAAGACATATTATGTAAAGGTACAAGATCCCAATGATAAATGTAACTGTACTGTTTGCTTTAAATGTACCAATAAACTTAATGGGGGAAAAAGTTTTCCAGGGTTTTATGAACTCAAACTATTTACAAGTACATAAGACTTATTTGAACACTAATCTGTCTTTATTTAAGAAAAATTAGATGTTAATCACAAAGTAGTTTATGTTTCCTTTTCAGAAAAGCTCTATTAATATTGCCCCCCCAAAGAGAAAAAAAAATAAAGAAACAAACTGTCAAAGTAATACATACCTTTGCATCATCTATGTCAAAAACATCACACCAAGGGGATTTAACACCTGTAATTGCCAAGTCAAATGAGCAGGTAAAAAAAGCTACCTGAATTAAATCTGGAAAAAAAAAAAAAAAAAAGGTAAGGTATTGTGCTATGTTTCTGTAATTTTTCAAAAGCTAAGTACCTGTAGAATATTACTTGTAAGACAACTTAAAAAAATTGAGTATGTTTGGTTTGGAGAAGAAACTACCTTTTTTCCTAGCTATCAAAGAACTAAGACTTACTTTATACATTTAAAAAGAACTATCAGGAAGAAACCATGAGGAGGTATAGATTTCAGTACAATGAAACTAAAACTTTTCTGTAAATGTTAACTTTTTTCAGCTTTTAAAACTAAATACTCATTAAGAGAACATTTGCCTGGCAAGCCACAAAAAGATTAACCCAAACACTTACTACATTAAACAAAACTTGATTTTGTTAATTTTAGAGGGCTAGAAAAAAGGAGCTAAAGTTTAAAGGTAGTCCCCAATTTGACATAACAATTCATATTAAAACCAGTAAGTCAGGGAAGAACTCAAGAGCAGAGTAAGTGAAGGAGCAGGAGAAAGGTGAAAGAATCTAAAGAAGAAAGGAAAATCATACACAAAGAGGGTGTGAAAGGTTGGTAACAACATCAATTTTTCAAACTCAGCTGCTCAAGCAATTTCAAAAGTAGATTTCAGAATAAATTATCTACCAATTTTATTCC